TAATATAGAAATTAGTTCAAATAGGACTAAAACTATGGCAAAAACCTAAAATAGAACTTGCTATGTTTTTATTCCAAAATAGGACCATATGAGTCCTATTGGAAACATATCTATTTTTGCATTCCATTCTTACCCTTCCATTAAATATAAATTAAAAATAGTCAAAAGCCATAATTAAATGTTTAATTCATAATAAATTCGGAAAAAATTCAAAAATTCGTAGAAATATAATTAAAAAATTTATAAAATTTTTATAAAATAAAAATTCAAAAACCTTTTTTTAAAAAAATAATTTTATTTTTAAAAAAATTCATAAAAAATAGTAAAACTCCGTAAAAAAAATTTTAAAAAATATGGATGCCTTTCCCACCGCCTGTACTACCTCCCAACACCACCACCTCCGGCCGATGAAAAAAATGCCATTTTCCCAGAAAAATGCCATTTTTTTCTGAAAATGCCAAAAAAGTGGCATATTTCTCTTTTCGAATGCCAACATTTTCATTTTTTCTGCCATAAATATGGCATTCGTAATGAACTTGGCATTTTTTTTCCTGGTGACTGGAGGTGGTGGTGCTGAGGCGGCAGAGGCGGCGACGATTTTTTTTTTTGAGTTTTTATTTTTTTTTAATTTTTTTTTTAATTTTTTAATTTTTTTTTAATTTTTTGAAAAAAAAAATTAATTAAATTTTTAATATCGAAATGTTTTTCTTAATTTTTTAGTATTTTTTACGAATTTTTATTATTTTTTATTATTTTATTAGGAATTAAAACATTTTAATAGCTATAAGGGTATAATTGTCCAAGGTACACATAATTAGTCCTATGCAAACATAGTTTATTTTTTGGTCCTATTTGTGAAAAGTGAATGACTTTTAGTCCTATTTTGATAATTAACTCTTTTTAATATTTACTAAAAAATTATACTCCCTCCGTCCTATTGGACTTTGTCAACTTTCCCTTTTGGATTGTCCCAAAAAACTTTGAAACTTTCCAATTAAAGCAACTAATTTATGGTTCTGCACATTTCTCTCTCTTCTGGACAAATTTCAACCACACAGTTTTTACTTTTCTTATTTCTCATCTACTTTTCACTTGACAAAGTCCATCGGGACAGAGGTAGTATAGATCAGTAGGTTTTTATTGGGGGCAGCTGCCCACGCCCCCTGCTCCCACTCAATAAAATTGACATGTCAAAAAACAAAGGCTAATAGCTGGACATTTAGAGCCCGTTTGATAACTCTATTTTTAGACTTATCAGGTTTATCAATCAATTTTTTCACTAAATATGAAACTTTTGATCTCGCGCACTAAATTATGTAATAATGAAAAAAATAAGGTTGAAGTTAATTTTCGGGCTGTATTGGTTGAAGTTACTGTAAAAGGCTATTTGTGCTATTTTTACATTTAGTTTTTTAATTATTTTAATAATAAAATATATTATTTTTCATAAATCAGGATAATCAGTCCATTCAACCATTTCGGTCAGAATTTCATAAATTCAATCAGAATCATGGAATTAACATAGGACTCTTAGAGCATCTTCAATGTGGAGATGGATTGCTCTCGAGTTGCTCTTAGTATTACGAAAGGACTGTTAGTATGCACAATAGAATTATGGACTCAGATCACTCCTCTAAGCTATTGGAATAAATTTACTAATAGTAACAGAGAGTGAAACCAATTATTCATCTAGTTTTACTGAAGTTCTTACAAACGCAATAGGCTCTTTATCATGTTGGTTTGAAACTTGAAAGACTGGAAATTCTAAATGTGGAAACAATATCAGCTGAAAAAAGAACAGAAAACAATAAAAAAATGTTACTTGTATGATTCAGTGTAATTTATCTGAAAAACTGGTTAATTATCGGTTTGATAGCTATTTCTTTATACTTCACAGACTTGATTGAGTCATTTTAGAGTTGATGGATTCAATGGACCGTTCGGTAAAATTACATGGTTCTGTTTGGCATTTTTTAAAACTAACATATGAATAACAAGCAAAACGTCAAGTAAAATTAATAAGTAATAAGTAGTAAGAACTAGTGAATAGACAAATAGTTATTATATGTAATGACAAACAGTATAATTTTTAGTACAAGTACAAATATTGTACTCCCTCCGTCCCTAAATGTTTGTCACACTTTCCTGAAACGGATTTCCCAAAATGTTTGTCATATTTTTTCAACTTCCTTATTTGGTAAACAAATTTATACCAAACAGTGTCAAACAATGCAAAACAGTGTCAAACAATGTCGCTACAGTGTGAAACAGTGTCGCTACAGTGTAAAATCAAATTCATCTCCTTAAAACTTGTGAAGTCAAAGTGTGACAAACATTTAGGGACGGAGGGAGTATAATACTATACACTTATAATTTTAGCACAAATACAAATATGGTATATTATACTATATATAGCAATAATAATACTATAACAAGTTAACAACTACTACAATAATAGTATGATTATATTGAAGGACTAATAGATGAATAATATATTGGGAATGTGTAGATAGAATAATGGATGAAGATTAGAAAATACCAAAGCGTAGAATAGAAAGGTGTAATTGTAGAAAAATATGATTAGAATGAGAGAGATTTATACTCCCTCCGTCCCAAAAACAACTTCTCACGTTCCTTAAATGGATGTCCCAAAATTAACTTCACACTTTTTCTCACTTCCTTATTTGACAAATTATCTACATCAAAATAGTGCCAAAACAGTGTCAAACAGTGCCAAACGGTAAAATTTACCCTCAATAAATTTATTTTCTTAATATGTATGAAATACGAAGTGTGAAGTTGTTTTTGGGACGGAGGTAGTATAATTTTGCCGCACCCCTTCACGGTTAAAGAGTCATTTGAGGGGCTCCCTTTGTTAGCCCTCCAAGTCCTATGATAAAAATAACTTTCAAGAACTTTCAAGTCGGTTCCCAATAAAAATCACTCGTTTTCAAGACATCACTAAATTATAAAGGAATTTTATTTGGAAAATTAACAATCTACTCTACTAACCTCTAGTAATGTATTAAAATATACCTTACATTAATACTTATGGAAATTTGCAATATTCATCCCGTAACTTTCGATCGTTATCATTATTAGTCTCGTAACTTTAGTCACTTGCCAATTCGGTCCTCTAACTAATTAATATTTGCGATTTAAAGATTTTTCCACTGAAAAGTACACTTTCCGACAATAGCATACCGGAAAAGATGTCACCGGCGTTGCACTTTTCCGCCGGAGAGTGTACTTTCCGGTGGGGAAGTCCTTAAATTACAAAGATTTATTAGTTACAAGACCAAATTTGCAAGTTCTTAAAGTTACAGGACAAAAAAAGATAACAACCGAAAGTTATAGGACTAAAATTGCAGGAAGCAAAAATAAAATTGATGATTTAATAAAACTGTGTGAAGAAACCGAACTATGAACTTTAAATCACATAGAAGATACTCTCCCACCGTCCATCAAAACTTTAACAAACAGACACAAAGAATAATAAAGTAAAATCGTGTGATTAAAATTTGTGAAGAAGAGAAAAAAATGACAAGAATCACAATTTAATTGATTAAACATGAAAATGACATTTTTTTCGCATTAAAAAAGAAAGATGACAACAAAGTTAAAAGAGACGAGCAGTATATTAGAATTAGACCGAGGAGTTCCATTAACTAGAACTTTTGATACCCATTGACCCCTATTATCTTTTTTACTCATCACTTATTTATTCTTGTAAAGTTTTTTTTTAGAGGAAATGGTAATCGAGTACACCAACTTGTATGAGGTGGAGTAAAGAGTACAATGGATTGCATTTGGTCTTTTTAAGTACACAAATTCATAGTTTTAGTGTTAATCGAGTACATTTGTTAGATTAACACGTTAATACAGCTGAGTTGGCTAACGTAATGTTGAGTAAGAAGGGGTAATGGACCCAGGTTATGACACCGACCTTCACGAAATCGACCAAAAATTGAAAATCAACCTTCGGAAGTTGACCTTTGGGGGGCGTCGGCCAGCAGGGGTGCATCGACCAAAGAGAAGTCGACATGCGAGAGTCTGGCATCGATCAAGGGGAAGTCGATCAAGTGACTGGGATCTGGCATTGACCTTCAAGAAGTCGACCTATTATATTCTGTTAGCCAACTCAACCGTATTAACATGTTAATCTAATGGACGTACTCAATTAACACTAAAAATCCAAATTTGAGCACCTAAAAAGAATAAATGCAACATAGTGTACTCTTTATTCCATGTACTCAATTGACTCTTATCTCTTTTTTATTTATTTATCTAATTTCCATGCATTTCCATACTTGTGAACTTTTATCCCATTTTTTTACTACCCTTCTAAGTTTTTCTTCTTCTTTTCTTTATTTTTTCTGCTTTCCTACTTCTCTTATTTTCTCATTCTCTTTCATGTTTTTGCAACTTTAATTATTAATCAATTATCATTATCGTCTACGGACTACGTAGCATTACTTTTCTTAAATTTTAATCTCTTATGTAATACGGGTTTCATTAAAAAATGAATCAGATCCTCCTGTGTCAACCTAATAATTATTACTTCGCAGAATCCCTTTCATAAACAAATTTAAGGATTTCGTAATCACTTTTTGTACTATGATCAAATGAAATTTGTCAAAATCTTAACTTTGTTCATAGAGAGGGTTGCGCTTAAATAATGATAACACAGAGAGAATTTGACGCATTTTGTAAATCACATGGACAAATACGCTCAATTTATATATCATAAAGTGGATGGTGCATTAAACTCTATATAATTTTACCTACTTATTATTATAATACTCCTTTCGATTCTTAATTATCTTTACACTTTCCTTTTTAGGTCGTCGCATATTAAATTTTACACTTCTTTATTTGCCTTATTTGGCAAACAAATCTACACCAAACAGTGTCAAACAATGTATTCTACAGTAAAGTTAAATTTATTTCCTTAATATGTGTTCTAATTGTTAATTTTGTTGAGAAACTAAGATGACATATTAAGGAACGGAGGAAATATAATTTATTCATTCATGATAATACCATACTATGATTTGATACATCTTTGGTCACCAATACATACCAAACACTTACTCAAACCATGGGCAAGGTTTTGGACAAAGAAAGGGATGAAAAGAGACGGTTTAAAATGTTCATCGATTCCCGCCACAATTATTCAATGATCAGCCCACCTTCAACCCGCCATTGCCAGGCTGGTTTTTTCTTGAAGCAGAGCAACCCTGGCTGCTTCCTGAAAGTCAGAAGGTTCAACCATTCTTACTTTCGCCCTAAATTCTTCTCTGAGGCCACAGATGAAACACTCCAGGAGAAACTTCTCTGTAGACCCGTCAAGTATGATCAACGCGAGAGGCACTATTGCTTCGAATTCATCAACGTATCTCCTCAGAGTTGAAGTCTGTTTCAGATCCTTGAAATCCTGAAACAAGTCTCGCTCGTCGAACCTCCTCAGAACGGCCCTCACGAATCCCTTCCATTCCATAACCTCATCGTCCTCCTTCGCGAAGTTCTGGAACCAGATCTCAGCTTGGCCCTCGAGATGCTGGGAAGCGTACACCGTCTTCTGCTGCTCATTGAAGCGGAGGCAGGTCCGGAAGAACCTCAAACACTTGATGATCCAGCATCTCGGATCCGATCCGTTGAAGCGGGGAAAGGATTCGCGGATATCGTCGGGGAATGTGTGGCGCAGAATCGCGTCGTTCATTCTCTCGGTGGCTTGCTCGAGTTTGGCTTCCATGGCTTCGATCTTCGCGCTCATCTCTACCTCCACCTTACTCACTCTTAGGTTCACGCCATTGAAGATCTCTTCGATTGTTTTCTTTAGATCCTCCATGATTACTTACTCTCTTCTTACTTGCTCGCTTGCTCTGGCTTTATGTAAAGAGAGACAGGTTGCATATGCTTCTTCTTCTTCTTCCATATGCTTGATGACTGACGATCCAATAAAAATTGTCACCTACTCGTGCTGTGTTTGTGGGAATAGAAAAACTCCAATGTCTTGTTAAAGCATATCTTCCAGATTTTCTTTTTTGGTCTACCAAACTTTTTGCTTATTTTCTTTAAAAAAGTAAATGATGATGTTTTGGCTGATTCTACTAGTAAAATTTATGAACTTTTTACAAAAGTGATTGAATTGGCTCATTTATGAAAAACTTATATTTAAAACATTTTTACTAATAAAATAAATAAAAATTATACGGAGTAGATCATAAATATAATTTAAGTAGATAATAAATATAATAATATATGTCTTTATAAGTAGATAATTAATACATAAGTAGATATAATAATTGTATAAATAATATATGTAAAGAGAATTGGAGAAGATGAAGATGGAGATGATTAAGGGGTTGTTTACTTTTTTCCCCATCAAGTCCTAAATGGATTAAGATGTATGTCTGCATTAAGCTGTCTATCTGGATTAAGAGGGTGTTTGGATCCGATTCTTAAAACTGCTTCTGCTCCTTCAGGGAGCAGAAGCAGAAGTTGGAGTGTTTGGGTGAAAATGCAGAAGTGATTCTGGTTCTCTAATTTACTCCTAGAATCAGTTTTTTTAGAAGCTGGGGGGTACCAGCTTCTGAAAACTGATTATGATTCTTCTTCTGCTTTAAAAAAGAAGCAGAAGCAGAATCAGTTCCAAACACCCCCTAAGTTACACTGAGATAACAAGCTGTTTATTAAGTGTGCTGAATGAGAAGTCTGAATCATGTCTAATTACCAAATAACCCTTCTGTCTGGAACAAGTGCTGAATGTATATTGTTTGTTTACTTTCTCTGTTCTGAAACATAATTTCAAATGCTCGAGAATAATAATGCTATGAACTATTAAAATAAAAAAGTCGCATTACATAATAAGAAAAAGTCATTTGTCTTAATGAGAACAACACTTTAAATTTAAACGTTTCTTGCTAGTCTATTAGCGATTTCATTCCGCAAATTCGTCATATACCGTAAACTTTGTGTGCCCCATTGTGTTGCATGCACTTCTTTTTATTCATTTTATCCCAGTAGTGCAAAATGAATAAACATGACCTGCAGACCTGATCTCCTATAAACACTCATTCTTTTTATTCATTTTATCCTCATAAATACTTCTTTTTATCCTCTCCTATGAACATGACCTGCAAACTTGATGACGAGTAGTGCAAGCCCTAAACAATACCTTTCTTTCAATTTATCCCATTATGAAAAACAATTCAAAGTAGAGCTTCTGTTTCTGCTTTGTGATATACAACAAATTTTTAAACTAGGGTAACATGTAATTTTCTAACCACTTCAGCAACAATTTAGCCACATGTGCGAAAAATCATGAACTTCAACTTCTGAAGAACTAAAATCACTTATGCAGAACAATTAAGCCACATGTGCCACAATTTAACAACTTTTGCAGAACTAAAATCATGAAAAAAATTGTTTACTTAAAGAAAATGTGCAGCAACATAAAACAGAGAACTTCAATTTAATTGAATTAGCACACACCTCAAATAGGGGGGAAATAAGGATTCAATCTTCAAATTTCATTTTGTGTTGCCATAAAAGTTGGGAGATGTGATTACAGATGAAGTAGTAGAAGCATGATGAGAAAGATGAAGAACCTGAAATAAAGGTGAAACTTTTTGTTGATGAAGTGCGTTGCTGGATGCGTAACGAGTAGAAAGAACGTTAGCTAGGGTTAGAAAAGCCAATGAGGCGTCTGTTAGGTAAGGACAGCAATTATCCGACTGGACCATTAAGTCATATTTGGTCCGAGCGAATAAGTCAAGTTTTTCATTAAGTCATAAGTAAACACGAATAAGTCAATTTATCCATTCAGCTCATTAAGTCCTAAATAAATGGGCCCTAAGAGTATTAGAGAATAGAGAGTAATTAGGATTGTAGAAAGAGTTGGAAAATAAGTGTAGAAAAATGTATAAAAATAAGAGTGTATATAGGATTTTTTTGTAACCCACCCCCATCCGAATACCCCCGAGCCCCCCTCCTGACCTCCTAACGGCTATAGAGCCGTTTGGGAATGTTCCCAACAGCTAGGAGTAGGGATGGACTCGGGCCGGGTGGCCCGACCCAGAACCGGCCCGGGACCGGTATTGTTCCGGCCCGGCCCGACCCGGTGGCCCGGTCAGTGACCGGTCCGGGTAGGCCTAGCCCGTGGGTTTTCCGGTCTGGGCTCGGGTCACCCAAAACAAGGCCCGACCCGGCCGGGCCCGGGCCTGGTTCGGGCCAAAAACTATTTTTTCTTTCAATTTTTTTTAAATTTTCGGGTTGGGCTGGGTATTTTGGGCCATTTGGGGCCATTTGGGGGTGGGAGGGGGGTTAATTAGGAAGAGGAAAATAAAAAAAATGATAATGGGTCCGGCCCGGCCCAGACCCAGTGGTTACTTGGGCCGGTCCCGGGTCCACCATTTCTGAACCGCCGGCCCGCCCGGCCCTAGGCCCGACCCGGACCCGGCCCAGACCCGAGTCCACCCCTAGTTAGGAGGGCCTTTATCAATTAAAAAAAATAAAAATATGGCCGTTGGAGGCCCAGAACAGGCCGGGCCGGGCCGGTTCCATTTTTAAGGGGCCCGAGCCCGCTAGGTTAAACCTCCGGTGCAGTCCACCCTGACCGGTCAGAGGCCTGGTCACTAAGGCCAGGTCAGAACAGTACCAGGCCGGTCCCTGGATCGGACGGCCCGATCCCGGTCCATGACCACTGCCCGTGCATCGCACGGACTTGAAAACTAGTATATCAATAAAGGTGAATAAAATTCCAGAATTCCGACATGCAACTAGTATAATTGAATTTCCCGACATAAGTTTGGAAATAAGAAAACTCTAAAGATGTAGAAAAATACATAAGAAACGTCAAAATAAGTAGGAATCCAACGCATAAATCCTTATAAATGTACAATCAGAGTCCAATTTGAACTTTGAAGGACAAATCCTACTAAGTTTTAAGGAATTGAACATGCAAATCCTTCTAAATTGTCACGATAGATGCAACAGCAGCTTCAAAATCAAGAAAAGTGGCCTTTGCATAGACACCCAAACTTTTTAGCATGCCACGCCACTCCATCGTAGCACAGTCATCAAAATATAACATGTTGATTTCTGGGACAGGATGTGTTAGAAGCTCATACATGCTAAGAATCCTAAACAGTTTTTCTGAGCAATGGAGGCCTATAGCTCTGAGTCTCTGACATCATAGAAACAAACGGAACTTACTAACCCAAGCTCACAAAACAGTTGACCACCAAGCCGTTTTTCTCTTGGGAGATAGATCCGAACGAAGATCTTTAGAGCTCTGGGATAAACGCACGGGATAGAAATGAAGATTATCATTATAAATGAATCCCAGACGTAAGCTTGGGAATAACCAACACTCTTAAGATAAAAAATACATAAGAATCAAACTTTAGTAGAAATTCGATTTGTAAATCTTTCTATATAGGAATAGGATAAAAAATACGGATTAAATTAGTTCCTCTTTTCTAGGCTCCCCTCACTTAACAGAAACTGAAATGGTGAGAAAAAGATTATAATGATTGGAATAAAGAATAAGATTCCGGCTGAACAGAATTTTCATGATAAAGCAAGATTAGCATATCAGAATCGTATTAAAAGAGAAGAAACCATAAGTCATTGAAGGGCATACAAAATTCAAAGAATAACAATCATATTTGAATGCAATGCACGGTGAAAATTCTAGTATGAAACTTTTTAAAAAATGACATGTTATTTATATACCCAATCACAGATCAGCACATATTACAGCAGGTTACAAACCTAAGGGGGGGATCAGCTAATAATACATCACGTCAGTCTAAAATGCAGAGATCAACAGATAAGGAAAAAGGGAAGGACATTATCATATACGAGAAACACAAAAAAAATTCAGACCCATCCTCTTCTAAGCAAAAACTGTATGGATCAAGTTGTGATTCAAGATGAAACCGGAGAAGACTCTGAGGAGGAATTTCTTGATACTGTTGACCTGTCCAAAGAGTGAGAATGTTATTCAACAGGTATTATTCAAGGATGATCAAGTGTTGTCTCAATTCCGAAACTGTAATTAAGAAGAAAAAGAAACAGAATGACTATTCATCAGATGGGGAACAAACAGACCTCATTCAAAATCTCAGCCAATGGAAGGAGGAGCTTCCCCCATATTTCCAGGAGAACAGAGGACCTGGTCAGGAATGCCGAGGATATTCAACGGAAAGAGAATCAGAGTGAGAATGTGGAAGGGCCTTCTCAGATACCTGCAGATCAATGTGAGAATATTCAGGCTCCAGAGAGGGAGAATCTAAGCAACAAAGTGAATAGTCTAGATAGGCAGGAGCCCGCAGCATCAGTAAATGTGGAAGAGACTTCACAGGAGCCTACAACATCTGCAGATCCAAATGAAGATCAGTTTACTTTGGTAACAAAGAAGAAAAAAAGCAAGAGAAAGAGATCATATTTTGAGGTGGATAAGTGGGGAGAATCTACACGAATCACTAGAAATGTTGCTAAAAAGCTTTCACAAGCTCAAACCAACATTTCTAAATGATTAGTTGTCTTATTTGGAACATTCGTAGTCTTGCCTCATCCTGCCCAAGACTACGAGAACTTATTAGGCAGCATGACATTCATCTTCTTGTCATTATTGAACCAATTGTTGAGGTTCATAAGGCTGAGTAGTCTGAGTAATTTATATTGGAGTTGGGTTACAATAAAGTTTTTACTTGTGATAATAACAAAATCTCGATATTTTGGGCCTCTTCTTCCCTAAATAAATCAGATTTTTCTTTTGATTCTCAATTCATCCATATGAAGGTAAATGAGGGTTCTTTCCAGTTTTGGTTCACTGCTATCTATGGGGCTCATACTCATATTGAGAGGAGATTATTGTGGTCTTTTCTTACTAATTGGGCATCAGTTAATAGTGAGCCTTGGATAGTAGGGGGAGACTTTAATGCAATTGCAGATCATGGGGAACATAAGGGTGCTTCTAGCCCTAGGTTGGACAGTATGATGGAGTTCAAGGACTGCATTTCTGATTGTGACTTGATTGACTTACCTTATCAAGGATGTAAATTTACCTGGACAGGGGTAAGATCTAATGGGAGATTATGGAGGAGACTTGATAGATGCCTGTTCAACACTGCTTTTCTAGGCTGCTTTGATACCATCTCAGTGGAAAATCTCAACAGTTCATCTTCAGATCATGCTGCAATCATGATATCCTGCAAAAATGCTTGTGTTCAGAGGCCCAAGTTGTTCAAATTTCAAATCATGTGGCTACGTCATAAGGATTTTTAAAATATTGTCAATTCTAGTTGGCAAAGGCATTCTACTGGCGGTGGCATGTGTCGGCTTTGTATTAAGCTAAAAGGTCTAAAAGAGGATATCAGAAAGTGGAATATAGAGCAATTTGGTAATATATCTGAAGAAAAGGTTCAGAAGGCTGAAATTAAATACCAATCTGATCCCTCAGTTAATAATAGGGAAGAATTGTCTTTTAACCAAAGTATTTTACTCGCTAAACACAAACAGGTACACAAGTTTTGAAAACAGAAAGCAAGGGTAAAATGGATGCAGGAAGGAGATGCAAATACAGATTTCTTTCACTATTGTGTCAAAATTAGAAGAAAGAAGCAGCAAATACTTCAAATCAGAGACTTAGCTGGTAATGTGCTTTCTGATCAGGAGGATATAGACACAGCTGCAGTTCAGTATTTCTCAGACCTTTTTCATCAAGAATCTGGCCCTATGAATGAAAGCAACACCCTGCAAAATATACCGCATCTGGTTAGTGATGAGGATAATTGCTTTCTGCTAAATATGCCAACTATGGAAGAAGTTAAAAGGGCAGTTTGGGGGTTATATAAGGACAGTGTGCCAGGTCCAGATGGCTTCAGTGGCAAATTATTTCATAGATTTTGGGACATAATTGGTAAAGATGTGTTAATGGCAGTTCAGGATTTTTTTTATGGGCAACAGTATCCCAAAGGCTATGGGTAGCTCATTAATTATTCTGAGTCCAAAGATTGAGACTTGAGAGGCCTCAAACTCTTTAAGTTGAGGATCATATGTTTATCTGCTTTTGCAAGTAAAATCTGCACCAAAGTCCTGGCAGCAAGATTGAATTTCATTCTGCCCAAAATAGTTTCCTAGGAACAAGCAGGCTTATGAAAAACAGAGACATATCTGACCACATTCTAATTGCGCAGGAAATGGTGCATTCTTTAGATAAAAAAGTGAGAGGGAATGTGATGATTAAACTTGACATGGACAAGGCTTTTGACAGGGTTTCATGGCCTTTCCTAAAGGAGATTCTAAGCAGATTTGGCTTTAGCAGTCAGTTTATTTCAATTATTATGAACTTTCTTCACAGCACGCATTTATCAGTCCTGGTTAATGGTGTGCCTCATGGTTTTCTAAACCATTAAGAGGGGTGAAAAATGTACATCCTTTGTCTCCCCTCCTTTTTATTCTGACTTCTGACGTTTTTTTCTAGAGGACTAAATGCAGTCATTAATTCTGGTTCTGTAAGGCCTTATTGGATGGTTAATCAAGGAAATCATGTATCTCATTTGACTTTTGCAGATGACCTGCTTATTTTAATTAATGGAGATGCAAGATCCAGTCCATCTTTTGCCACATACCTCGAGGAGTATCAACTAGTTTCAGGTCAAAGTGTGAATTGCAAGAGCACATTTGTTTCAAGCAAAATAACTGAGGAGAATTGCTAAACTGGAAGATCTGTTGAGAATGAAGCATTCCAAATTGCCACTGAAATACCTTGGTTCTTTTCTGCATAAAGCTATGAACAGAGTTAAGTACTGTGAGGAACTCATTAAGAAGTTTGACCAGCGTCTCACAACCAGGAAACAGAAAATTTTGAGTCAAGGAGGTAGGCTCATTTTGATTAAACATGTCCTGACTCCTGAATGCTATTCCGTTGCATTATATGGCAGTTAATTTAATTCCTAAAACTCTTGTCAAAATCCTTGAAAGGAAAATGGCTCATCTTTTATGGGGATTGAGTGATCAAAGAAATAAATATCATTGGATGAGCAGGAACAACATAAGCCTACCCACGGAAGGAGGTTTGGGTATTTGTTTTCTTTCTGATTTTGAAAAGGCCTTCTCATTGAAATTGTGGTGGAAGTTGAAGAATAATAGATCATTCTGTGCTAAATTCGGTAATATCAGATATACTAGAAGTCCTAGTTTACCTCCTAAGGTTTCTGACTCGGTCATGTGGCGCAGGATATGTAATATACACAGTAGAGGAGAATGTCTCACTGATACTGATTTGAATGGTAATCTTATATGGGCTATGGAATACCTTGTACAAAAATCAAACGATGCAGATAAGATTTTTTCAGTGGAGATCGATAAACAATATGCTTCCTGTTTCTAAAATCTACTGAGATTTAAGACAGTGACTTTTCCAGCATAATGATGAGGTATATCATGTATATTATCAGTGTCCGAAAATCAGTGGAGTTTGACAATACTTCAGGGGGGGGGGGGGGGGGGGGGTTGATATCAGCTATTTAAGGGTGATAGGACCCCGGCTATTACAACTAATAAGAATAGATATGGTTTAGTCTATTCTAGAAAGAAGAAGTAGTTTAGTTGTTGGGCAGACGGGTAGTTGTTATGAACTACTAACTACTTTTAGTAAGGTGAGGGGGCTATAAATAGAATAAACCTGTTAGCAGTTAGACAGGTTGTTAGATGCTTGGATTGGGACTGGGAAGTTAGAGTATTATCTCTAGCTTTGGGACTCTATTACTGTATACCGCCATTAATGAAGTTTGAGTATTGTTTCAGTTCGTGTTGTATATTGTGAATTGCGATTGGATACTATCATTGGTATCAGAGAGTGTTTGATCGCTGGATGACCGTGACGCGCGCAAAGATGGAAAGCAGATTGACGGAAATTGAAAGGAGCCAGCGGGAGATGCAAGCTAGCCTGGAGAGAAATTTGAGAGAGATGCAGTCAAATTTCACTACCGCATTGGCCACGATGCAAGCTAATCTAACGGAAATGCAGAACAGAAACTCGGATAGATCACGAAGTCGTTCACACCTATCGAACTCTTCGCGTCGATCATCACAGAGGAAACAGACGAAGCATGATGACAGTTCGGAAGGTTCTGAAACCAATTCCGATCAATCTGGTTCGCATCCGGATCGCGAGCGCCATAATCAACATCGGAATCCTAATAAAGCTGGAAGGAAAATCGATTTACCGATTTTCAACGGAGAGGATGCCTTTGGTTGGTTGATGAGGATGGATCGATATTTCAGGTTGAATCAGACTGATGAGCGTGACAAAATTGACCTGGCAGTTCTGGCAATGGAGGACCAAGCACTTAGCTGGTTCCAATGGTGGGAAGGTCAGACTCGCAATTTGAATTGGGAGACATTTACGAAAGATTTCACTACACGTTTTCAACCAGAGCTGGTACAAGATCCATTAGGACCGTTGTTCAGCTTAAAGCAGAGAGGAACTATGAAGGAGTACAGAGACAAGTTTGAAACAGCCATAGCGTCACAGGGACACTTAACTGAGGAGGTTCTGAAAGGTGTTTTTCTTAAGGGACTGAGAAGAGATATCAGGGCTGAGCTGAAGTTGTATACTACACGAACCCTAGCTGAACTCATGGGCCAAGCTTCTCTTATTGAGAACAAAAATAATGAAGCAATGTTGATGAAGAACAGAGAGGAAGGGAAGAAAAAGGGGCTAAGTAAGATTAATGGCCCAAATTATCAAGCAAATTGGGGTGAGGTGAGCAGATGGAAAAGTATGGCAAACAGTAGCTCTAACATACCAAAGGGTAACTCAGATTACAGAAGCAATACTGACATGAAGGCACCTAATATGAGTAAATCAGGTCCCAGATTGTCCAGGAGTGAGCTCCAGGAAAGAAGTAGGAGAGGTTTGTGTTTCAAATGTGGAGAGGACTGGGGCAAGGGTCATATCTGTAAAATGAAGAACTATAAGATGATTCTAGTGGAGCATTCTGAGGGAGAAGATGAATCTGAAGGAGAATTAATGGAAGGGGGAGAAGAAGATGATATTCACAAACAACTTAAAACGATGCAACTTTCTGTTTTAAGTAAGGAGGGTATTCCATCCATGAAAACATTTAAGGTGCAAGGTGTGTTGAGTTGGGGTGATGGAAAACAACCTGTGAATATTCTGATTGACAGTGGGGCAACACACAACTTCATAGCGCAGGGTTTCATTGACAGATGGGAAGTACCTTTTATGCCTATACAAGGAGTGAGAGTGCAGATTGGCAATGGGGATCTCATCCATAATAATGGCAGATGTGATGGAATGAAACTGGAAGTGCAGGGGAATGACATACATCAATCATACTATATACTGGAATTGGGTGGCACAGATATTGTGTTGGGTATGGCATGGTTGACTGAGTTGGGAGACATGGAAGTGAACTTTCAGAAGCAAGTGATAAGATGGAAACAACAAGATAGGATAAATTGTATCCAAGGGGAAGCTGCACTGAATAATTGGGAAGTTCCAATGAAGACTATGCTTCAGATTCTGCAGACAGAAGGGGATGGATACTGTCTGTATTATGGAGGGCAATTGTATGGTTTGGAACAGAATACTAAGGAAACAAAGGTTTGGGAGGACATCATTGCTAAATTCCCAGAGGTGTTTACTGATCAGTTGAAGTTTCCTCCTGCTAGAGACTGTGATCATGCCATAAACATCCAAGAAGGAGCTAGCATACCAAATCTGAGGCCTTACAGGTACACATTTGATCAGAAAAATGAGATAGAGAAGGTTATTGGTGAAATGTTAAAAACAGGTATCATTAAGCACAGTAACAGTCCCTACAGCAGTCCTATCTTATTGGCTAGAAAAAAAGATGGTGGTTGACGATTTTGTGGTGATTATAGAGCCTTGAATAAGATCACTATACCTGATAAGTTCCCCATACCAGTTATAGAAGAGTTGCTAGATGAATTGGGGGGAGCAGTGGTTTTTTCTAAACTAGATCTGAAGTCAGGTTACCACCAAATCAGAATGAAGGAGAGTGACACCTGTAAGACTGCTTTCAGAACACATGAAGGTCATTATGAATACCTAGTCATGCCATTTGGGTTGACTAATGCACCTTCCACTTTTCAGGCTCTAATGAATGAGGTTTTGAGACCTTTCCTCAGGAAATTTGCATTGGTATTCTTTGATGATATACTGGTTTACAGCAAAACCAAGGAGGATCATAAAGAACACCTCAAATTAGTTCTGGAAGTTTTAAAGAAGAATGATTTAGTAGCCAATCAAAAGAAATGTTCCTTTGGTCAGGAGCAACTGAGTTATTTGGGTCATATTATTTCTGCAGAAGGGGTGGCAGCTGATCCTAGTAAAACTAAAGCCATGGTAGAATGGGGTGTACCAAAAGATTTAAAGGAGTTGAGGGGTTTTTTGGGTCTTACTGGATACTACAGGAGGTTTGTCAAGGGCTATAGTCACATTGCTGCTCCATTGACACAATTGTTGAAGAAGGATGGGTTTAAATGGAGTGATATGGCTACAAAAGCTTTTGTGGAATTGAAGAATGCTATGTCTTCTTTACCAGTGTTGAGAATCCCTGACTTCAATAAAGTTTTTGTAGTAGAAACTGATGCATCTGGAAGGGGGTTAGGGGCAGTACTTATGCAAGATGGGGGTCCTATTGCATTTTTAAGCAAGGAACTAGCACCTAAACATTTGAGTAAATCTGTTTATGAAAAGGAGTTGATGGCAATTGTGTTTGCAATTCAGAAATGGAGGCCCTACTTATTGGGTAGGAAATTTGAGGTTCACACTGATCAAAGAAGTCTCAAATACTTGACTGAGAAAAGAATCATGGGAGAGGATCAACAAAAGTGGATTGCCAAGCTTATGGGATACAATTTTATCATTAAATATAAACCTGGATGTGAGAATAAAGCTGCAGATGCTCTGTCAAGGAAACCAAATTTGTCAGCCTTATCAATTGTGAATTGTCAGGAATGGGAAGGATTAGAAGATGAACTGCAGGAAGATCCAAAATGTGTTGATATTATTCAGAAGATTTTAAGTCATCCGGATCAAATGGTGGATTTCAGATTGAAGAAAGGGTTGTTATACTACAAGGGAAGGCTGATGATACCCCAAAATTCTCCTAGAGTGACAAGGATTCTTAGGGAATATCATGATTCTGCAACAGGAGGACATTCTGGCAATTTCAGAACTATGAAGAGGATCTCAACACTGTTCTATTGGGTGGGTATGAGGAAGCAGATTCAGCAATATGTGCAGAATTGTGATGTTTGTCAAAGAAACAAGTATCAAGCTTTGAAACCTGCGGGGTTGTTACAACCTTTACCTATTCCAGATTGCATTTGGACAGATATAAGCATGGATTTCATTGGTGGATTGCCAAAAGCTCAAGGGAAAGACACTATACTGGTGGTGGTTGACAGACTAACCAAATTTGCACATTTTATAGCTTTGTCTCATCCATTTAATGCTAAAGGAGTTGCTGAGATCTTTGTCAAAGAAATAGTGAGACTCCATGGATTTCCAAAATCCATAGTGAGTGATAGAGACAACATTTTCTTGAGTTCTTTTTGGTCTGAGTTATTCAAACTGGCTGGAACACAGTTGAGATACAGTACTGCGTATCACCCTCAATCAGATGGCCAAACGGAGGTTGTGAATAGGTGTTTAGAAACCTATCTGAGATGTATCACACGGAAGAAACCTAAGGAATGGAACAAGTGGTTACCTTGGGCAGAGTATTGGTACAATACTAACTACCATATTTCCTTAAAACAAACCCCTTACCAGGCCTTATATGGGCAAGAACCTCAACCAATTATAAAAGGGGATGTGGTTAGGACTGCTAATGATGAAGTGGCAAGACTGACAGCTGAAAGGAATGGAATGTTAGCTGAACTCAAAGAAAATCTAGCTACTGCCCAGAATAAGATGAAGCAGCAAACAGACAAACACAGGAGAGAAATGAAGTTGGAGGTGGGTGAAAAAGTTTTCCTGAAGATTCAGCCTTATAAGTTGCAGAGTTTGGCTAAGAGGATCAATCAGAAATTGAGTCCAAGGTTTTATGGACCTTTTGAGAAGGTGAATGATGTAGCTTTTAAACTGAAATTGCCAGATGATTGCCGGATCCATCCAGTATTCCATATTTCTTTACTAAAAAGGGCTCTATCTTCCAATACTAGCTGTCAACCATTGCCTAAATGCTTGAGTGAAAACTGGGAATTGTTGGTGAAACCAGAGAAGGTGATGGATACCAGAGAGGGGACAAATGGCAGAATTGAAGTTTTGATACATTGGGAAGATCTGCCAGAATTTGAAAGGTCTTGGGAAGATGCTCAAGTGTTGAAGATACAATTTCCAGACTTCAAGCTTGAGGACAAGCTTGTTTCTTTGGGGGGGAGTATTGATAGGACCCCGGCTATTACAACTAATAAGAATAGATATGGTTTAGTCTATTCTAGAAAGAAGAAGTAGTTTAGTTGTTGGGCAGACGGGTAGTTGTTATGAACTACTAACTACTTTTAGTAAGGTGAGGGGGCTATAAATAGAATAAACCTGTTAGCAGTTAGACAGGCTGTTAGATGCTTGGATTGGGACTGAGAAGTTAGAGTATTATCTCTAGCTTTGGGACTCTATTACTGTATACCGCCATTAATGAAGTTTGAGTATTGTTTCAGTTCGTGTTGTATATTGTGAATTGCGATTGGATACTATCAAAGGGGAGAAACAATACGACAGTTGCTTTTAACCTGCTGGATTGGTGCTGGAAGCAAAACCCTTCTTGATATTTTCAAACATAACATGCCAGGAATTATACTCTGGCATATATGGAAATTATATTCTGAACTAGTTTGGGGGACAAGAAATACTGTACCTGCAACTGAAATGTTGATGATATTCCAGATTAAACGATATTTGCAAGCCTTGTCTTATACTCTTCAAAATATAAAGAACAATAATGGATATGAGCTAATTCGACAAGAAGACCTAATTGCTTGATGACATTCGGTATCAGCTTCCGGTATCGATAAAGGCTTCTCCAATTTTGAGGTAGAAACGGATTCCCAGAGAGTCTTATATCTCAAATACATGATAGATAGCATTAAGGAAGCTAACCGCTCTGCACATTATTTAGCTAAGACTTTTTGAAAACTGTTTAACTAAGACTTATGCAGCGGATTCTAAAATAACTCTCACTTTCCTTTTTCAGCATAAATGATGATCATTTATGGTAACTAGGCAGAGAACTTAGAACATGATTAATGAGGATCATCCTCCCACCATCCTGCAAGTTTTTTGTCAAACTTAGTAAGAATATGATCAAAGTGGGAATTCAGGGATCTACCTGAATGTATGTGAGCCTCTTTTGATTCTAAAAAGATTATTGACAATATTAAAGTTATGGTTTTTAGCATGTTTGGATATTATGTAAAAACTTTTCTCTTTGCAAATAAGCTTCCCAGGAAAGGACTCATACTCAGTAATGGCATTATGCAATAAGGTGAGGTTTTTTTGGCAGCATTGGACAAAACAATCAAGTCATCCTCAAAAGATAAATGGGAAACAACAGGCATAGCAGATAAAGTTTGGTAAGAACTGGCTCTCCCTGACTGGTAAAGGCTATTAAGGTTTATGGTGAGGATCTCGGCAACAATTATAAAGACAATGGGAGAGAGGAGGTCACCCTGTTTGACCCCCCTAGAAGGTTTAAAGAACCCTTTTGGGGCCCCATTAACCAGAAGTCCAGAACATAGAACCAAGTTGCCTGGAGATTGTTGATGATAAGCTGGACAAACATTGGATTAAACCCAAACTTAGTGAAAACCAGGCTGATGAAGGGCCAAGATAACCTGTCAAATGCTTTGAGCATGTCAAATTTAAAAATGACATTGTGGCCCCTAGTTTTTTTTATGGATATGATTAATCAGCTCTCTTAAGACTAGGATACTATTAGAAATATCTTTCGCTTTTTGAAAGGCTGATCGTTCATCAGAAACAATTTTGAGCAAAAAGGTGGCAATCCGGATAGTAATAATGTTAGTAAAAAAATTGGTTTATATAGTTACTAAGACTAATAGGCCTGAATTTAGAAAACCGATGGGCATTATTTTTCTTTTGTAATAAGAGCTACAAGAGTGTGACCAATAGACTTGGGATAGGTAACCAACAGAAGAACTCCCTGACAGCATTTAATAAGTCATATTCAATAATATCATAGGCAGCATGGTAGAAATAACCATCAAAGCCATCACTCCCGGGAGCACCGTGTTTGTTAAGGCTAAAAACAGCAGTTTTAAGTTCATCTTTGGTACTAGGGGCCAAAAGGAGATTATTGCCCTCATTAGTAATCACAGGACTCATATTCTGCAGATAAGAGCTAGTACCCTGGACATCAGTAACATTATCATCAGAAAGCAAGGTTGAATAATAGGCAAAAGCAGCATTGTCAATACTCAATATCATCAAGATTCTCAGTCCAAGTACTATCATCCAACTTAATTTTGGACATAATTAATATTTTGTTTGGCTTTGACGGATAGATGGAAAATTTTTGTGTTTGCATCTCCGTCCTTGAGCCATTTTATTTTAGCCTTTCGCCAATAAAAAGTATTTATATGGGCAGAGGACTGAATATATCTAGCCTGAGCTTTCTGAAGAACTATTTATAAACTTATATTTGTATTTTTATAATTAAATAGATTGATAATATATAACTTCTATTTCACTTTATTACTTGAAAGCTGGAATAAGATCTGAACATAATAACTTACGCAAATGAATTCCGTATCATATAAACCACCATATATTAACATTTATAGTTTTGCATACGTACACTTAAAACATGAAATAGTTAAATAAAACATTCCTTAATGCATAACGTAAGACAATTCTTAAAAAGTGTCGTCCCTTCTGGTAAAGAATTCCAGGCTTACTCAGCTTCTAAATTTACACCTTTCTCAATTATAAATATAATTTCCTTAATTCTCAAATAAATAATAAATTTCCATGTTATTGAATCAAATATAATGCTATAATAAAACTTGACAATAAAACACAAGAGTATAATCAAATAGTAAAGCATAGCAATAAAGTTTTAGATTATAACAATATGATATAATTAACATAAAAGTTTAGGAGAAGGGAATGAACACAAACCTCAAGAATGCAAGATTTTCTCTTAAATCCATAATTAACATAAAAGTTTAGGAGAAGGGAATGAACACAAACATCAAGAATGCAAGAATGCAATATGATATGAATTATATTGTGCAAATATAATTCATATATTTGCATATAATTCTTGTTTGCTCATGCATGGCCTTAGCCGTGTGTCACTAACAAGCTGATCGATTTTGTCAAGTATATGTATCAAGTTTTTTATTTATTTATCTATTTATTATTATATTGTTTTTATGTTGTCACTTTTTGCATGAACTGAATTTACCACACCTAAAAGTGAAGCCACGTAAAGCGTTTCCTTTGTCTAATGCTTTAGTTCTTAGTCACGTGCACTTCTAACTTATCAATTTAATAATTTATTATTCGTTAATTATTATTTGTTTATTATTATTGTCCTTATACTATCAAACTTTCTAGAATTTTCCTACTACGGAGGAGTAACTGGCTAGTTCTTGTTTTGTGAAGTTTAAATTTACTTAATTGATGTATCACTAATGATCATCTATTTTTCATTCATTTTTTTTAAAAAATAATCTTTACTTGTTTATTTTTAGCTTCAAGATTCCAAACATGTAAAATTAGGGATGTTACACGGGATTGTTTCAGGCCATATAAAGAACAACGTAATCTGCAAACCAGACCTCCCCTGAGCAACAAAACCACACTACTAGAATTTTCATCATTTGTTGCTACTTATTTGCTGCGGTTAAATCACAACCGCAGCTAATACTATTAAAATTGAGTCTATTTGCTGCGAGCAAAAGACAACCGCAACAATAGCAGCGTAAAATGAACATTATACGCTGCGGGCAAGGGCAACCGCAGCAACTGCGGTGTAAAGTGAACGTTATTTGCAGCGGTTCATGAGTAACCGCCTCAAACCCCAGATAATTTGATGCGGCCCTCAAACAACCGAAGTAATAATCTGTTTTCACTATCCTTATTCCTTAACCAGATGGTCGCAAATTGGTAAAAAAAAAAATAGATGGTCGCAAACCTAAGCGGATGAAATCCCCCAAATTCACCAAAGATTCCTGCCTTCTCGCAGGCTGAGCAATTTGCCGCCCCTCTTCCAGCAATTTGCTTTCTTTGCTTACTTTGAATATTACGAGGTTTTATTCTTGTTAAAACTCCTGGTAGAATTATAGCTATAAAGTCCTGGTAGAGTTACTAAGAATAACCTCTGAGAGTAGAATTACAAAGAGGTGCGTAGAAAATTACAAAGTATTGAACTCCCTGTAGCTCTAAACTCCTTTAATTTTTAGTATAAATCTAAAAATAGTTGTTTCAGGTATAACTCTAGATTAATCTAAATTGACATTAGTTGATAATTTATACGAAGTATATATAAACTATATATTATGGAGTTCCATGCATGTTGAGTGATTCTCTTGTTAACCTTATTTTAAGTATCTCCATAGACTTATAAATACCTGTGTGTATTCTAGAAATTATTACTTTCTGAGTTATCGTTTCAAATGTTAGATTCAATGCTTTAGGGAATGAAAATGAAATGCACTTATTTTTAAATACTCTAGATATTTTATTAGTGTAGAGCAAAGCCAAATAGCAGATTAGCAGCCAGTTTTAAAAATAAGTTAATAAGTTGTGAATATTATTTGTGAGATTATGAATTAAAGTAATAATTGTATTATTTTTTAATTTCTTTTGTTTGAATTTTACTTTTTATTATTATCAATTTCTTTGTTATTATGTAACGCAGAAGAAATGACGGAAGAAAAATGTTTTGTGACATGAGTTTAAAAGTGATCCACGCTTTGATCTCTCTCAACAAAAGGTTCAGTTCTTGAAGGATTCCAAGATAGCGGAGTAAGATGAGGGGATCACAGTTCCATATGGTTATGGATTCTTCCACTTTGTTTTTGTTACAGGCGCTATGTATAGTATTCCGCAATTTAATTATCGGCTAGAATACTATATTTAAAGAATTTATTACAAGGTTAATTTTGTTGTTGTATTGGATTTTTTTGATGTTTTTGTAATACTTGATAATTGATCTTATGGGTGATTCATGAAACATCGAGAAAAGACTTGTTTTTCTCCATGTATAAGCCTTATTTTGTTTTAAATTGAGTTTAATTTTCTTTTTGAAACTGTAATGAAAACATACAATAATCAAAACATGTGATACGTATTGGTATTGTATGTCCAAATTGCTCTCAGTATTTGCTGCGGTCATAGCATACCCGCAGCAACAAGTATCTTAAAATAATTTTGATTGAGTATTTGCTGCGGTTGTGAACCGCAGCAAATAGGTAAACTAACAAATTGCTGCCCCTTTCAATTGTTGCGGTTAAGAACCGCAGCAAATAGGTGAAAATAACCGCAACAAATAGACTTTATTCTAGTAGTCAGGTGGTTGCTCCATATAAACCTCCTCATCTAAATCACCATGGAGAAATGCATTTTTAATATCCAATTGAAACAATGGCTAGTGGCTCATTGCTGCCATGGATAAAATCGGACGAACAGATGCAATTTTTACAATAGGAGAAAAAGTGTCAGTGCAGTCTAATCCATAGATTTGTGTATACCCCTTGGCAACCAGACGTGCATACATATAACTTAAATAAGCATTTAATATAAAGCTTTAATGTATAACTTTTAAATTCTGTCTGACCTATTGCAAGGGTGTATCCCTATGATAGCATGACTACCCGCATGAATGCGAGTAATTCATCAATACCATCGGCATCGTGAAACTGTAGTGTCGTCTGGGGCAGAAACTTGTGCATACCTAAAACATTCAAGGCGTGGTGAAATTCTAAGAGAAACGACCATGTTTAAAGCAAATATGCTAAAAACAATACATGGTTCAAATATAAGGCCCTATTCAATATGAAATAAGAGACCTAACATACAATACAAAACATAAATTACATAATATGATAATATACCGAGTACATAAAAAGTGAATACATACAAATGAAAATTTCATAATATGGTAATATACTGAGTACAAATGCAAATTTCATCACTCCAACCAATGTAGAGCACTTATAAGAGGTATAGATGACACTAAATCCAGCAGGTGGGCCTTGAGTAAGGGGTGTAACCGTGTAATGGTGTTTGATGCTTGTTAAGATTTGGGGTTCCATCCTAAAAGGTCAACCTGATAGGAGGAGTATCCCAAAGCCTTATATAGTGGTTTATTGTTTTATAGCTTTCTGGTTTGGGACAAATACTCTAACACACCCTAGATAATATCGAGGTGTATAAATGGGCCAAACAGACCCTTAACAAGCTACCCGTAATCATGGGTGCTAAACAAGCTCTCAAACCACAACCGGAATTAGCTCTGATACCATGTTAAGACCTGGGGTTCCATCCGAAAAGGTCAACGTGATAGGAGGAGTAGCTCATGTTTTAATATAGCACTTCGTTGATTCAAACATTTCCGATGTGGGATTCAAACATGCCGTCAGCCATTTTTTCGTCGGTTCATCATTGTCATTTTTTAATCGTATCGTCCTTTTTCATAAGGGGCCCACACCATAGTTATGGATCGGTTTGGCTCTGATATCATGTTAAGATTGGTGATCGATTTTTGAATAATTGTCTTATTTGTTATGTCAAAAAAGATGTGCTTGATACCGTTACAAATGTGGAGCGTTTTCGAAAATTGAAAACTCATAGAGAGCAATTGTAATTTAATGAAATATATATTTTCTATTATGATGATACTGGATTTTTGCATCTTTTGAAGTTAATTTATAATTGTTTTAATTTTTCTTACTTTTGCTTACTTGGTGCCCCCAATGGCTAAGTATCCTAGATCCAATGACTAAGTATCCTAGATCGGCTCCTGATCTTTATTCCATATTGCAATACATATTTATATTTCATTATTACAATATTTATTGTTTATATTGCATTATTGCAATATATAGTTTGTAATCATTCTCTCTTTTATTGTAGAAAATCATTCTCTACTAATTTGATATTTTGTAACTTTGTTTCAATTACATTTATGCGTTAAACTCATTCGAGCAAAAGAATTTTCTCATTTTGTGATTTTTTCATCACGACTTATCACCTTGAGTCTCAGCAAAAACAGAAAAGTAATTGTCTACGGGTGCAGAAATAGTGTGCGACAGTATTCAAACAATCCTTTGACTAATGACTAAACTAGTTCTATTGATTACGCAATACAATATTTTATATTTTGTTATTACAATGTTTCTTTTACAAAAACATTAATACACGTAGAGGTAATTAAGTATTTCCATTTAAAAGTCATAAAATGTAATGCGTATTAAATAATATGAAAATGTTACATATTTTTGTAGAAGATGAAAACATAATTACTCTATTTTGAAATACGCAGACGCTTTTACTCCTATTTAGGGCAATTTCCTATATTTTAACAAAATATCTTAGAGATCTCACTGAAGATCACACATTTACAATAGATCAACTCACAGATATTTTAAGAAAATATCTCAGAGATATCAAAATAAAATGTATTTATAGCAAAATTGGTGCATATAATCTAGGTAAAAATAATATAAATATCTCAATTTTGAAGCGGTGTGTGATGAATACCCCGAACTTGCATACGTAATATGTAATGTGTATACTCCAAACTTTATATAAAAATAACACCCTTCACTAATGATTATATGTTTTTTACATATACAAATTCATTACAATAAGTATATAATTTAGGGAAAACTGTCAAATAAGTCCTTGTAATATATCGAAAAAGTCAATTGAGCCCTCCTACTATTAAATCGCTCAATCGAGTCCTGAACTCTAAAAAAACATTCAATTTTGATTTTTAGCCGGTTGTTTGAAGTTTCACCGGTAAAACATGCGACTTGGACGCCAAGTGGCATTTTTTATTTTTTGTTTTCTTTTTCTCTTTTTCTCTATTTCTTTCACCTCTTCCTTGCAACTCTTTCTTTCTTCTCTCCTTACTTTCTTCTTCGGTGAAGCATCCAACCAGCAACCCAGGAGTCAGGACCCCTTTCTCCTCCCTTGTTTTGCAACCCCACCCTAGTCACCACACCGACCATTCCCTTCTCTATGGATGACGGGCTGCGATGGAGACAAACTCGTCGGTAAACTCGCCGGTAAACATGTGGAAGATAGCCCAAGACCTCCGGCGAAATCGCAGCAGCCATTTTCCGTTTCCATGTGACATCACAGCAGCCATCATGTTGGTGCCAACTAGTTTTGCAGCAACGAATTGAATAGAATCAGACAGATGGAGAAGAAGAAGACCGAAGAGCGGTTGGCCAGTGCATAACTTCGCCCGCATGCCCCGAGTCAGAGAAGAAGATATGAGGCAAGTGGCAAGACCCATGGTCCACGTCGTTTGCGCACCAGTTCTCCTCTGTACTTGCTGAACTTCCGGAGATGAAAAAATAAAAATGGCAAGCTTCTTTAGATTGGATGTGGTGGAGAAAAGAAAGAAGGAACGAGGAAATAACATACTCTGTAAAAGATGTTGTGCAGCGGGGCTTGGGCGGAAGAAGAAAACCAAGGGAAAGAGAAGGGAAAAAAGAAGGGGGGGAAAGGAAAAAATTCCCACATGGACCAACCACGTGTATAAGTTAACGTTTAACCGGTTGTTTACCGACTTAAAGACCTAATTGACTCTTATTTTTTGTAGTTTGAGGATTTGATTGAATGATTTAATAGTACGATGATTCAATTGAATTTTTCTATATAGTACATAGATTTATTTGACAGCTTTCCCTATAATTTATAATAACCTAAACTTTATTTGAATGTAGTTAACATTCTAAAATTTCATTTGTGAAATAAATAATATTAATCTGATAAAATCTAATTTTAATTATTGCATCCTCACAAGTGCTTTGTGTATTTTAAATTATGTACTTAGCACCATAAAATAACATTTATGAAAAAACATATGATCATGGTACTAACATAACTTTTTGTATAAAGATTTTGGTATGTATATTAAGTATGCAAGTTTGGAGTGCTTACCTCAAACTCATTCAAAGTTTGGAATATTTAAATTATTTTTCTCTGTAAATTATATGTTCCAATTTGACGGAGTGTTGAAATCCCAATAGTATTAGTCTTAGCACACCTTGTCAAGGCCAGGTGAGCTAAGACCATATTTAGTGCAAGTAGACTTCTTTTTCTATTGTTAAATTCAATTAATCGGGCTTAATATTTAATTTTTGTTGACAATTTAAAAAAAAAATTGAACATAAATAAAAAAGTATTAAACAAAGCCAAGTTTAAATCAAGAATATACATTAATTTTTTATAAGGCCAAATGTAGTTTTTAATGCAACACAATTGTTGCTGAATTAATAAAAGACATGTCTTATTGATCTTCACACCTTTTTTAGTTTTTAATGCTTTTTATTTCTTTTAAGCAATTATTATTGACGGTTTTGTTTCACATTATTCTGCAAGAAACGTTTTAAATAATATTTTTTTCTTTTTAAGTAATACTTGTGTTGTTACTTTTGCTCAAATATATAATTTAAATAATAATTTAGTGATTTATGCCTTTAGTTTATAACCTTTTTTTTAGATATTTTTGTTATGATTCATATTTTAAACATGCATAATTTACAATTTGTCTTTAGTAAAGCCAAATATAATATATCACCCATATGCCCAATAATGGGCTCGACAGGCCATGCACCTTGTCTACAAAAGTCTAATGCCTTAAAGCCCATTTCGTAACACTAAAATTGATTGAATTGACTGATTTTACTAAAAAATTTGAAGTTCTGGCTGAAGTGGCTGTATAGGTTGGTTCTGCTGATTTATGAAAAGAGAAATTAAATTATATTGTATTAATAAAATTAAAAAAAATAAGAAAAAATAACTAAAATAGTCATCCAAAGTAACATCAGTCCTCCAGAAAATATAGCTACTTATATAGCTTTAGAATATTTAGTACCATCATAAAAACGGTTGCACTCAATGCACATCCCCAATTGTTAAAAACTTAAAACTAAAGTTAAGTTTGTCCTCAGGCAACTATTTGGTATCTAACATGCAAAATGTATAGGTTCTGTGCCAACACGCTACTTTTAGCCGCATTTTGTAGTTAAAAAACAACGGTTTGCTAAAAACGCCATTATACAAATGGGGCCACAATCTTTTGTTTGCACCGACATTAGGGGTGGACTCGGGCGGGGCTTGGGCCCGAGCAGGCTATTTTTGGGAAAGGGTGAACCAGAACCGGCCCGGGAATAAACCGGGTCCGGGCCAGACCCGGTTCTATGTTTTCATTTTGCTTTCTAATTAACCCCTGACCCCCTCCCCCACCCCCCAAACCTCCCCAAAACACCCGGCCCTAACCAAGAAAAAAAAATTTGGAAAAACAAAAAAGAAGAAGCCCGAGCCGGTTCAAGAAAAACGTGGCCCAAGCCCGGGCTCGGTTAGCACCAACCAGGCCGGTCCGGGCCCGCACAGTAATGGGCTGGGCCGATTCCGGGCCGGGCCGAACCGGTTGGGTCCATCCTCAACCGACATAGACACAACACATGGGAAAGAAAGATGGACATAGTTTAACTCATAAAACCTATAGAATTATATATACTGAAATTTATTCAAATTCCCTTGCATAATTCTACATTACAAAAACGATTGAAAAACTAGGGGCCAACGGAAAAGAGCAACATCTTGCAAGTTGCAATCACAATCAATAATGACTTGATTAACTCTCTAACTTTGGAAACCCTCGTTATACAACAAACCAAATGAACCAGCATTTTGACATGAAACAGGCTCGGGTTAAAGATCTCATTAAAGGAAGCAACATGATTCAGGGAACCATTTGAACAATACACTTCTCTTCAATTTAATCAGTAATACTACTATCCCATAGCAGGGGATATGCATTAAAGCCACCACCAAGTACCTGTCAATAAATCCATCAGTCAATTATAATAACGCAATTGAGGTTAATATGTTACCTCATTATTAACTCCAAGCAACTGAAAAAAGGGAAAATAAAACATGGTACCAAACCATAATGGCACCAAACTAATTAAAGTGTCCTAAAACGGGATACTTTTTTCGTACCAAATCAATCCCTAACCGATCGCAAACAGGACAAGACCGGTTCACACTTTTAATATACCGGTTATCTAGCACCGCATTGTTTGATTATGTATTTTTTATTATTTCTGTTTTTATCATTAATACTTCAAAGTTTTATTATAATAAATTGTCTATTTTTATTTTTCAATTTTAAATTGTTTTTATTATTAGTCGCATCTATCTAGGCACTAAACATATAAGTTAAGTAGACTCATTGCAATCAGTGTATTTGTTTGTGTATTTTCAAATGTAGAGTTGTAAGAATTTAGTTCTTTTGCATTTTATGTTTTGATGTGTGTTAGACTTAAACTGATTATTTCTTTACATTTTTTTCATTATAATCTACTGGTCGTCGTCATCGTCATTACCCCAGTGCCGCAAAAATAGTGAATCTTTGGCTCCACTATTTTTTGGCTTGAGAATATGATGGAATAGAGCAAAAGTCAATTTATGCAATTTTTTAATGCAATTTTACCATGGGTCATCCGGAAACAGTCTTTCAAGGGTAAGGTTGCGTACATCCGATCCCCCTACCCCACCGTAGGTGGGAGAGCCTTTGCGGCACTGGGGTAATGATGATGATGATGACCAGTAGATTATAATGAAAAAAATGCAAAGAAATAATCTACTGTTATTTATTTAAAATTCATTTCCATAAGTGTTTAGATGTTTGCAATTTTTGGAATGGTTTCAACACGATATGGTATCACATGCTTCAAAACGGGGCGGTACCAAATGGTTCTAGGATGTATCACAAACGTGCCCACACCTAGAAAAAAACTAGGTAAAACAAGGATAATATAGATAAACTGGCATAAAAGAAAATACCACAAGGGAGCAATTCGTAAAGACATGTCAAGAAATGGGTACGGCCACCTGCATGAAAGTGCTACCCATAAGAAGTGTGAAGTACATCCTGTTTTTGCATTAAAAAGGAAAAAGAATACTACCAGGTTGATACACATGCATGAACAATCCATTGGAAGATGACATAAACACTAGTCCACAAGAGAAAATATGAAATCCGGAACCAACGGGTTTGCTGGTAAAAGTTTCCACAAATTGTTAAGAAAAGTCTCGGAACAAGTGAGGAAGACTGAATTATTGTAACAGGAAAATAACATGATCAGTAGTAATCAGTTTACCAAGGAGTTCATTGTTATATCACCTAAAAGCAGGATAGCATTCAGAGAATGTGCAACCACTGTCAACTAGCAGAAAGAAACAGACAAATAAACTTTGTGATACAAAATATGACATACTTACTAATAAACGAGAAATAGGATTAATTACCGCAAGTCATGGTAACATTTAAAGATAGCTTATGATATACTCACTACTCAGCACACTGTATCAGACTATCAGTACTTAACTCCATCGTGCTAGATGGGAGCTGAAAAAATTGATAAAATAGCAACTACTTACAAAACTCAAGTCATAATCTTTGATAGAAAGGAATGGGAAAATGACGGTCCAGTACAAACAGTCAGTGAGCATCACTGATCCAGCAGTTATCTGCATTTAAAAAAAATACAAGATTAGAAAATTAAACAATATTTTCCAGTGAGCTGATATAAAAGTACAAGTATGTCTACGAGAATGTGAGGTATCATTTCAATTTCTCAACTAAAAAAACTATCTTTCATAAACTTATACGGGTAGTCTATATAATCTGTTAAATTGTACAGTGATCAACAATTATATGCATAGCAGGAATGTACTCCCTCCATTGCACTTCAAAACTAACTTCTAGGACCTAGACCGTAAAACTAACATCATTGCACTTCAAAATCCATACTCCCTCCATTCCTAAAAAGTATAGGTCATGATGTATTCAGCTTTACCCTTAATGGCAGGTAACTTTAATAAAAGGGAAAAAAAGTGGAATTCATAAAAGGAAAGTACAAATATTTGTGGGATTAATGGTAGTAAGGGTCTAACATTCTTGGAGATTAATCTCCTTGCCTGATAAAATATAGAAATGCTTACACTTTGACAATGTAGGAAACAGATCATCACAAGAAAGCTAAAAAAGCAGATCTATTAGTGCATTAAATAAGTATACCTGAAATAAAATTTGAAATACGTAACCAAAAAGACCCATACTTTTGGGAACGAAAAGTTTCCGTTGTAAGACAAGGTTGTCCCCTGTATTCACTCCTTGCAGATATTGTGTATGAGAGAGAGCCATTTGCAAATTGTTCTCCTCATCCATCAATATAAAATCATTGAAGTTGTTGGTTGGTTTATAACACCAGTAGCATCCATATATAGAAAGCAGTGATCCAAACTACATGACAACACAAAGACAATCATGACAAACAAAACAAAAGTAAGTAACAGAGTAAAAAATGTTGAAGACTAAAAACTGTGGAATGCGTGGAAATTGATAGACATTCAAACAACACATCTGAAATATCAATAGGCATTTGAGCAACACGTCTGAACATAATTAATACTACCTCCGTCCCATTGGAAGGTTCCCGTAGCAAAACTACACGGTTATTTAGGCAATAATTAAATAAAGTACTTCGAGTATATTTTGAGAAATAATTTTAATAGGTATATATTATAATGTAGTTAGTATTGATAATTGTGATGTTATAAATGTATTATTTTTAATATTTAATGATTAATTTGTCAATTAAGATTGTTAATTGTTTCCTAAAATGGAAATGAGAACCTTTATATGGGACATCCAAAAAGGGAAAGTGAGAACCTTCTAATGGGACGGAGGGAGTATGAATAAGATGAAGCAATGGACTATGGAGTAACCCCCCCCCCCCCCCCCCAAGATGCAATAGGGTAAAACAAATCACTGCAATCAGCCGTGACCGTGATACATACCAGAAAGTAAATTGTTACCAACATAAATGTCCACCTGTGCAGAAGAGTAAAAAATATATAAATAAATAATCACCATCAAGGAAAATAGAATTATATCCAAATTCAATGCTTTGCAATTTTCGAAAAATATAAAACTAGATACTCTGCAACCTGCATATAAGCAGGTTGCATAGATCATTGCAAATACCTTAGCTAAGATTGAATTACCGATATATGACAACTGCAATTAAATATCCCTTAAAGGTGGACAAACAAATAACAAACTTATAACAGAAAACCATTAGCATCAGGACGACTTACTGAGTGTAATAGAGAAACAGGTCAAAGCCATGAACGATAACATCAGCCGTAAGTGCTGCTAGCAGTAAAACAAAAGCAACTAACCGGAAAACCATCAAAAGAACTGGATGTATTTCTTTAATACATGGCCTCCAAGACTCATCAAACCAGTAATGCCAGGATTTGTCTCGCCACTTCACCCCTCCATCGGAGCCGGAACTGTCTCTATCTAAACATTCGTTCTTCCATATCAAGACTAATGATATAACTATGGATGAAAGTACCCAGGTTTCACAGAGAAAAGCCTTCCAATTCAACCAATAACTTTGGGCAGAAGGGTCACCAGCCAATAGTTGTAGCATCCTCTCAAAGATACAACTTTTATTCCACTTCCTGCAAAACAACGTTTTTTGGACATCCCAGTTTCACAAGATGCATCTTTGACATATCATAAACACATGCTAATAACTTAATCAAAAGTTAAAAATTGATTAACATGGAAAACGACTCAAAGCGCTTGTGTGCTATTACACCGCCTAACAGCCAGTGAAGAGGAAGCTACAAAGCAGATTACAACACCGCGAAATGTATGAGAATCCTAAATAGCACTGTATTCAACGACATATACGGATACCGCACTCATGAATTGCTACAGATCGTAGGCACAACATATACGAAACACAGGAGTGCGCAATGAGTACTTTAGCGGGACGAATGAGTTTGAAGATCAACGGAAAAATATATGCTCTGGCCTACCTTCAGTTAGTCTGGAGAGGATAATGAAGCTCTGTGTAGTGTCGCCGCCGCGTTGGTGGAGGGGTGGGGATGTGCGTTGACAAGTAAAAAAATGTGATCTTTTTTATGGATTAAAGGCAGCTGGGGAAGAGGTTCGAATGTGTCTGGTTTGTTCTTTCTTCCTCTTCTTCTTTTTGGATTTTTTAATTATAATGATGTGTAAATTTAAAGAGTAACTGCATCTGAATGTGAAATGTCCCCAGTCAGAAAGATTGGGTCTAGAAATTTAACCATCTTCTTCTTGGCAACAACTCAACCAAATAGTTAAATTTTATGTGTAAAATTTTAAGTGTTTTTTAATATAGATGTCTGTTTACATGTTCAATTTATATGTATATATGGACAATTTCCTCTCTTTTTTTGGCATTTTTAGATAATTGTTTCGCTATATAGTGAACGTGTAGAAAAGAATATTCGATAAACTTAATAACAAACACATAGGATAATTTGATGAAAAAATTTACATATCAATTTTATTAATAGAGCACTTTAATACTTTGGTAACTTTCTCCAACTCATGGAGTTGTAGAGCACAAAAGTTTTGAAAATCCAATTGATTATGATGTTTCTTTTGAATTATTAAGCAAAGATTCTCTCTTAGCAAACAAAATAATTTCATAACATTATTCATTTTCGTTTTGTGAGGTTAGTTGCAATTTAATGTAATCAGGCTTGTGGAAAAGTTTCTTAACAATGCAAATAACATTTTTACTTGAATTTCCATTCTTGTCAAATTTTAGATTTTCTTTGTATTCGTTTGATTAAGCTATAATGCAAAGTAGCCCACTTCTAGAGTTTGTAAGTTATAAAAATCACAAACGAATCTAAGTTAGGGAGAAACACAATCATAAGTTAGTAGCCCACTTCTAAAGAGATGGTGTTTGCAGGTATGTGGTTTTAGATTTCCGCCTAGGGTTTTCTTTCCTCCGGCATTTAAGCGCCCTAATTTTAAATGGGTTGAAATTTTAATGAAAATATGGTGTTCATTTTTCCCGCTTTTTATTTCTATTTCAATATAAAATTGTAACACATGTTACATTAGGATCCATTAAATGTAACACTGATTGAACAGATGTAACAAATTGTTGAATAGCATACCAGTGTTACTTTAGCACTATAGTAAATGTAACACTTTTGGCATAGTTGTAACAACCTGTTGAAAACTGTTGCATTAGACTCATTTTTTGTAACACTTTAGACAAGTGTTGCAATTTTTTGTTACATTAGCCCTTAAAATGTAGTAGTGTGAGAATGATATATTGCATTTGTATGACTTGCAGTTGATTGCATGTCATCATAAACCAAAGAAAGATTTAGAGACCGTTTGGTAACATTGTTTTTCGGCTTATCAGATTTATCAGTCAACATTTTTATCAAACATGTAACTTTTGTTTTCGCACGTTGAATTGTGTAATAAGCCTGTTTCGTGCTACCAAACGGGCTCTTAGATTATTTACAATATGTGAAACTCTTATGAACGAATAAAATGTATGATCTTAGAATTATTTTCTAAATAGTAAATGCAAAATGGCTTAATCTATTTTAACATCATATTAAGAAGTATTTTCATACTTTTTATTTAACTGTTAAGTAAGTCATTGAACGTAGAATACGTTCGTATGAAGGAAGAGAACCCTAGTGGCGAGGAGTAGAAAGGCGTCGTCTTCCGATTCATTTTGATCGCTCACGGCATCTATGACCTTACTCTTCTCGGATAACAGTGATGCAATGATTCAAACAATCTAATGGTGATATCAAAGCTCAGAGATTCTTGATAGAAAAGTACTCTGTATGATCCAATCAAACTGTTCCTATTTTTGCTATCTGATGGTCCTCCCAGAACCACCTCCGTGTCATAAAGAGTTTAGTAGAAAGATGAAAGATTTTTATTTCAATTTTATTGTTGGGTTAGTAATACTTGTTTTTATTTTAGTTCGAGTATGTTTGATCTGAAAATTTGGACTTATGTAGTAAATTTGATAGAAAATACTTTAGTCCCTGTTGTTTAGGCTTTAAATTGTCCTTTTCGTGTCTAGCAAATCAGGTTACTTTGTATGAAGTGGTTGATTCTATGTCTATATAGGACTCACAATCAGACTTGTCATAACTTTCTGGATATTATCTTGCATCTTTTCTCGATTTCAATATAAAAAGCCGATCATTTATATTCAAAAAAAGCAGCAATTTAACGTTTATCCTATTTTCTCTTTCCTTTAATTTCAATGCTAATTTTCTTTATTTCAATTTCAATGCTCATAGAGCTCATGGGACATTTATCCTGCTTAACTGTTTCTCAATGCGCTCATATGCATCTAAAGTGTTCAAAAATCATTTTGTCACAACTTTTAGTAATTGTTTTTTACAGTATATTATACAGAGTATATTACCTTAAAGCTAAGAGATGTAGTGATGGATGTATGTGTCTATATATATATATATATATATATATATATATATATATATATATATATATATATATATATATATATATATATATATATATATATATATATATATATATATATATATATATATATATATATATATATATATATATATATATATATATTACAAATGTTACAAGTTCTTATTGGAACATCTAACTTATTCCATTTAATGAATCAACATTATAATATAGGATCATGATGAAACGGTTAGCAACACAAGAGGGGGGTGAATTGTGTATGTGGAACCGTGCCATTTTTTCGCACAATTCTAGTGTGGGGTTCAGGGAATTGCGAAATAGTAAAGTGCACAAGAATTTAACGAGGAAAAATCCCTTGGCTCAAAGGGATTAAAAAACTTCGACCTCCCTCGGAGGAATTTTAAACAATTTCACTAAAAAGCTTTTTGTGGTTACAAGGTAAATTCTCATAATCTACCCTTGAGCCACCCCAACTCTAACCTCTCTAGGAAGAGTTATGCATCTCTACCTTGTGGGTAGAGAGCCTCTCAGCTTTACAACAAAGCTCTCACACACACGACCCCAACCTGAGGAAACTACACTTTAGCTTTTCCTCGAAATTCAATTACAAGATAGAGAAGGGAGATGAAACTATATCTAAAACTTCACGAGCAGGTTCAGGTGCCTTGGACTTGATATTTCTTTGTAAGTGTCTCTCTGTAATTGCTCGGTCAAGCACGCACCTTCTCTTGATCTTCCGGCCTATATATACTTCCCCCGTTCTTAAATAAATGCAATGGTCAACATTTCACACTTGCCGAGACACAACTTTGACCATTAATATAAATGATTTTGTATTAGTAAAAAAATTTAAAAAATTAGATTATGAAAATTTACAATGAGACAAGTTTAACAATATTTTTTTATATAAAATAATATTATTACATTAATAAATAAAACGTAGTCAAAGTAGAACATGTGAATAGTGTAGAAGTCAAAGTGTTGCATTTATTTAAGAACGGAGGTAGTATATAGCTGTCTTGAGGCAGGCCGTTTGAGCATTCTTGAATAGTTGTCCTTCAAATTTTGGGTCTTGCCTTGATATTTTGAATTGCTTTCCTTTCATGGCTTAGATTATTTTTGCAAAGATATGCTCTTAAATATTCGCATACGTAAGAAAGAGTATCATGTATAGGTGACAACTAATAACCTTGTTTAATATAGCATATATTAAAAGATTTTACTTATTAACCATCACTATGCACGGTCAATCATTCAATCATGCAATAGCAAACATTCTTAACATATGGAACCATGCAACGGACCCTTTCCTTAAGAAGGATTTTCATTTAATGTTTAACTAGCAAAGATCTTCACACATGTGTGTTTAAGGAAACACTTTCTTAGCATATTCAATTAGGCTACAATCCGCATGATTCTTGTATAGTAAAAGTAATGATTCTTTCCGTAAGCAATCAAACCATATCAGTCAACTCATTTACGTGAGTGATTAAACACGCATGGAAAGAGATTTCAATTAAGCCACGTAGAATCAAGAATATTAGGGCATAGATTTGTCATGTACACATTCATCATTCATGCTAATTATATTCATAAAACTAAACATCGTGTCTATCCTTTGGATAGATGAGAGTTCTATCCTATGGTTCACCTGCATGGTTAGATAATCATATAAGTTTGTTTGGACCATAGGATAGTTCCATTCCTTGTTCCTGTGAGAGGTTTAGTCATCAACAAAACTAAATACTTAACAAATTCCCCCTTTTTGTTGATGACAAACCTTAGGTGCGAAAATATCCTGCAGTTTGGACAAAATATAGCATAGTAGTAGTTTAAGGTAGCAGCAGCAAAGAGGAAGCACCTGATTATTTCCCCCTTTTGGCATCAACCAAAAGGAAACGGAAAATAACCAAAACAGTGCTAGAACAGTTATAGAAGTAATCAAAGTAGTGCCCATCTACCTAGAATAGTAAAAGTGTTTTTTTAAAATATGTTTTTGTCACTCCTCATCAGATGAAGACACGATCCTTCGTCCCATGCTACTGCCACCGGTACTGAGCTTCTTGAAAACATCAAATTTAAAGGCTTGAAGATCACTCCTGACAGTTTCCGTAGCCTCCGCTAGCTGATCCACCCTACCGACCAGGCTAGTGAGAGCTTCAGAGATAGAGTCAAAACGGTGAAGTATAGTGCGCTCCATTAGGTAGAGTTGATCCTTGACTAAGAGCACAGACTACGTAGGATCTGTGGAGGCAGCCGGACAAGGTTTGGAGCTGGATCTTGGAGGCTTAGAAGCAGGAGTAGGAACAACATTTTCTTTGTAAACCGGCTTAGAGTCCTGGATAATGATACCAAAGTTTTGTAGGCCACGGATGTCAAGGGATTTATGAATGACTTGGGAGGACATGTCGTTAACAGAGATTCCCTTTTTGACACAAAGGGTCATCAGAATAGGGCCAAACAGAATTCCTATTTTTCTACTGGCATCACTGATAATAAATTTCAGATGTGCGATGATAAGTCCTGATAGATTGATAGGAGTCTTGGTAGCAAGAAGATACGTGTATGCTAGTCCTACGTGAGATGCTATAAGCCTACCTTCGAGTCTTGGCAGTAAGTTCGAGTGAACAAAATAGAAAAGAAATTTGTGGATGGGGGACAGGTTTCCTACCCAGTTTCAGAGGGATCAAAAAATCGTAGGGCATCGGTTTGAGAAACAGTAG